TGTCGGGTAGTTACATTGCCGAGCCTTATAGTTCGTCTAATAAAGACTAGGAACAGGATTCGAGATAATTTTCTTTAATTGTTTTTTTTTATCGTTAGTTTTATGTTTAATTTTTAAGTTTTAGCAGAAATAACACATTAGAAATTCTTGGATTCAGATGTATGGTAAAAAGACTTCTTTGGTAACTTTTCTTTTCTTCGGTGACATACTTTAATTCTATTTCTTACTCTTGATAGAAAATAAGTTTGCACTCTTTTACAACATACCTGCTACGAGTATACTTTTACACTTATTTCTTTAGATAGCAATGTGTAGAATAGTGTTGTTAATATAATTTTCATCACAGGCGCTGACATTAGCGCCATCCTTACTAAGTTTCTAAATATTTTTGCAATGAGTTTAAGATTTGGTTCCTTAAGTTAAATTTATTTTCTCTCTTTTTTCATTTCATGATTATAAATAACTGATTTATAATGATGATTTATGATATTATAACTGATTTTATTAAATCTATTTTGCTTGAGAGATTATTAAACATCAAGGGCATTATAATAAATTATCAATATCTTTAATTGCATCGATAATATAATTGACTTTAATTTCTTCCACATACACCATAACATAAATTCTGATTAGACTTGGCTATTCCCCGTGGTATCAGATAATTTCATCCCTTTCAGGAAGATAAACAAAATAATATTAATACACCATCATCATCATCAGCCTATCGCAGTCCACTGCTGGACAAAGGCCTCTCCCATTAATATAATACATAATAATTCTAATTAATTATATTAATACATAATAATTCTTTATGGCAGATGGTTTCTAATTTGTTAGTAACAATATTCTTAGCGATTAATTTTAGTACTTACAGTACATATAGAAAACAAACAACTGTTGCTAAAAATTTAAACTACATGTCAAGCATATTTTGTATATAAAAGCACACCAATGTTTAGACAAAACATGTCAAAGACGTTACTCTTAAAAAAATCAACGATTACTTATTTAAAAGTCTAACGGTACTAAATGTTGATTTGATTTAGTACAAAGGAAAAATATGAACAATAATATAAACACCTAATTTTTTTTTAAATGACCTACAAAGGAAATAAGTGGATCTGATCTGTTGTAAATTTATATGAATATGTTTATTTACATCGATAATATAATTGACTCAATTACCAACACACATTTTTAATGTACTGCTGCTTAATAGATAAATTGTTTTACATTTGCCAGCTGCGCTTCGTATAAGTACTTTAGGTGGGTACGCAAAATTTAATAATGGTGAAATGAACTAGCTCAAGGCCATTACGTCACACATATTTTGGCAACTTCGTTTCGGGGATTCCCCGAAATTGAATCACGTATATGATTAATATTTATACAACTGCGTTATCTGTTTCTGAAATGGTTGCTTACGAACAACATAGAACATTTATAGTAGGTATATTAGAAAATAATGTTAACAAGATGGCAGTTGTATAAAGAGGATATCGGTTATTTGGATGGATTAGAAAGTGTTAGCAACCTCTACGTTGTATTACGAGTATGTTACTATCATATTTTATCTCTGTTGGTGAACAAAGAGGAAAATATAATTAGGAACGCTTTTATGGTTCACATCACACATCACATCAACAGCCTATAATAGTCCACTGCTGGACACAGGCCTCTCCGTAGAAAGGAGGTTTTGGCCTACTATACCACGCTAGCCAGAAGGGTTGGTATAGGGTTTGTCTCAAGTTTTCCTTCTCTTTGCAGTGCTGTTGTCCTGCGTAGTTTGCTCCCTTAGTCGCCTCTTTCGACAGCCACGGGATGAATAGGTGTGGTGACATTCTGTATTCTTAATCCGTCACCACAACCAAAAACTACTTACCTTTATGCGAATCGTTTTTTAACACGATTTTAATGGCTTGGTATGTTTGTATGCAATGATATTATAAATCTTTTTACTTAAAATTTCACTGTATATAACGGAATCTTCGAACGTGACTTCACTTCGAAGATGATCGAACTTCAAAACTTCGAATAAATTAAAACTACGCATTAAATCAAAAAATCAGGAACTTCAGGATTAACGGCATTTTCTAAACTAAGAGGCATGTGCCGGGGTTGAGCCGAATCTCATCTAATCTTACTTTGGGGAGGGGGGGATTTCGGTTAATATCGCGTAATTTAAAAAAAAATAAAAGTAAAATTGCGAGAATACTGGGTAAATTAAGTGAAACATGTTCCTGCACGGTAATGTGGCAAAGTCTTATACAATAATATTTATCATGGTATTGCGAGTGCCGCGAAATTGCACAGTAGCCCGTCGTTTGTTTCCGCGCCACCTTTACACCGCCTTTGCACTAAAAACACGTTTTATAAAATGTCACGTGCGATTGGGGATGGGGGAGAGGGTTGAATCAAATCTTATGACAACTCACCACGAAATCGCCCCTTAAGTAGTAACTCGGAAAGGTCAAGGTCACCAACTCGGACATTAGCAGACAGTTTGCGCCTACTAATAAAATGGACCTTACTCTAATTAAAATAAAACACATATTGGTATGGTACACATTTTATTGACGGGTACAATATTTAAGTACAAATAATGATAATTAAATTTAATAACATTTGCTAAAACAATTTATATTTAAAAGCTTCTTCTGAATTATATTTCAAGACCTTTATTATCAAGCTATACAGTATTAAAGTTTTTGTACTAAGAATATAAAATGCGTTTTTTGTACTACAAATTACCTAACCTAGTTTTATTCACAATTATTTGTGAGTTGTACAAGATATCATTCATGAATATTAATTGAGTTGTAAAATCATTTACAGCTGGCGGCTATTACTTCATAACTGTCATTTCTTGCGAAATACACTTTTATAATATTTTAATTTATTTTAGTTAGTTTACACTCTTAGCATGACTAACTAAAATCTACGAGGTCTATATTTAGTTACAGAACATTCAAGAATAAACGTTAACATGGCTTGATTTTTCTTTTAATAAAATATTTTATTATAACCGTATTATCAGTACACTGACATATACTGGATTTAAATAGCAAATAAATAAATAAATTTGTTATTTTTGTTAATTATGCATACCTACATGACGATTGCTGTTCTGAACTCTCGAGTTCGATTCCCGGGTTGGACCTAATGTTTGTATAGATCATACAAACATTAGGTCCAACCCGGGAATCAAATATTTGTTTCGAAGTTTGGGTGTTTTCTATATATAATATATATGTATTAACAAAAAAAAGTAAATGAGTATTCTATCAGTCCATCTAGCTTTCATAGTACAAGCTCTGTGTCATGTCCGAAATATAATATTATTATTATTTTTTATAAGAATTCGCCGCTTTAATCTTAAGTAACGGAAACAGTCTGGACTGATCAGAAATAAAAACCATGACAATACTTTATTTTACATACATTTTTAAAGGTTCTACATATTTAATAGTTAAAAAGAGGATACAACTTAAAAATAAAAACAAATTTTTAACTATTTAATTATTACTCATTGAATAAGTTTTATTAACTACGTAAATGACCGATGAAATATTATATATTGATTATTTTCTTGCATTAAACATAGAACCGAAGTTAATTTACAATTCTTAAAGCATTATCATCTATTACTAAAATGTTTGCAATATAGTAAATAAAGAAGTGCTGTTAAGCATAACATAAAGCCATTTTGAGTAATAATACATTAAAAATTGTTCATAATTATATCACCGTGTCTAAAACTATAATAACTTATGTAAACAAATAAAAAAGAACTAAATTTAAACAAATGTTCATGTATCCTAAGGTAACATAAATGTTATAGGTTTGTACTTAAATCGTAAAAATTAAATGTTGTAAATGCGAAAGTAACTTTTTTGAAGTAAAACTTCTTTACGCACGCTTGACGAGAGCGTTACGAAAAGTGTGATCGGGCGAGGTGAACGGAAGTTAGTGAAGATAGAAAGAGAGAGAGTTACGTTTCGTATATTACTGTAAGGACAAGAGAGAGAGGTGCGAGCAAACATTTTATTTCTCTCTTTTTCTCATAGGAAAGAAGTTTTACTTCAGTCGTGTGGTCTAAAGCAAACTCGTTTATTTATTTCTTTCTTACGCTTTAATTCAGAAATAATTATTCAAATCAAGAGGAAACGAAGCTTTTCAGTTTTATTTCATAATATTAATATGGATAAATGCCAAAGGCAGATTTTTGTTAACTCAACAGACTAAGATTGTTTAATAGTCAAAAAGTATAGCAACAATCGTGCAAAAATAAAAGAGTTGCTAACCTCTCATGGTATAAAACGAGTACATCTTCAGATCTCCGCGAAGGCGAAGACACATGCATATTAGACGCCCATATTTGACCTCACTCACGTTATAGGGGCAAGCTTGCGTGCACCAGGGACTTCCTTTCTAGGGAATACCTGGTTCCCCGGCTATTAGTACCCGAGACGGCGTGCGGTTTTAGTCGGTTCGAGTCCGACATGCCACCGATAGGTGGTATCCGAGGGGATTGCCGCACGGAAAAAAAAAGGGGCAAGCTTGCGTTAGCTTATACCTATTATAATTCTTGAATCGATACTAACATTATAAATGCATAAGTGTGTCTGTCTGTCAGTCGGTCTGTCTGTTTGTCTGTCTGCCTGTTAACTCTTCACGCTTAAACGGCTCAACCGATTTAGATGAAATTTCATTAAGAGATAGCTTGAGTCCCGCGAAATGACATAGGATAGTTTTTATATCAGAAATAATCCTTTAAGGAGAAGCAAACAGGGGTGGAAGTTTGTATGGGGAATCAATAATTGAGACACAGAACCGATTTAAATGAAATTTGGCATGTAGATAGTTCGTTTTTGTGGAAGGACATAAGCTACTATTTACCCCGATAACCGACAAACACGCGGGCGGAGCCGCGGGTTAAAGCTAGTATTACATAAAGACATATTAACTGAAAAATGTCCTCTTCCCTACAAAATGATTTACTTGAAAATTTCGCGAATGAAACCAGGTAAGTGATGTGGTAATTCTTCTACTAATCTAACTAAATTTTGTTTATTCCCACTAAGTTGAACTATTTGATTTGTTAATTTCTGAACTGGTTCAACTATTTCAGTTTTAATTCTGTCATTTATAGCTTGATTACTTTGAGGTAAATTCAAAACTTTTAATATAGTTTCACCATCTGGGCTTTTAATTATTTTTGTTATATTTTCGCTCAATTCTGACTTAGATGGGTCTACAGCTGCGACTATTTTAGCACTACTTTCTATGATTGTCATTACTTTATCTGCATTATCTTTATTCACATTGTTTCGAACACTTCTCATTAAAAGATTCGTAATGTTAACTAACCCTTCATTAATTGCAATATTTAAAGCATTATCGATATTGAAATCACCGCCATCTCTTTTTTTATCTGACTTTAAAAGTAAATCAAATATAATTTTCTCACAGTTGTGATTAGATGCTGTTTCGGCTAGTTCAGGATTATATTTTAATTTATATTCAAAAGCATTTCTTAAAGATGGCGGACTATGTGCTAAAACTATATTTACGAGAAAGTCCCACACAGAAACAAGTTGTACGTCATCGAAATTTCCATTTTTTACACGTTTTAATAGATCGGAGAGAGTTTCAACAATAAAATATTCCGCAAATAGTAGATGGTAGAATTTAGGAACACCGTTTACAACAGAGTCAATAAGATCGGTTTTCATTTCCCCCGACTCTATCATATTAATTGTTTTCTTCGCTTCGTTGATCTCAGCTGGTGTGAGAATTTTTACAATATCTTTCTCCTTGTATATAGCATAGAGAGCTAGTTTTTTATGATTTTCATAAAACTCAATTCGTCCGTCTTGTTCGACCCCAGCCGCAATTTTGTTTTCCATTTCACAAATTCTTTTAATGTTTGCTTTGAGGAACCGTTCGTACAATATTACTGTGTTTATGTAAATGTTTGATTTATTAACTATCATGTCTTTCTCTAAATGCAAATCAAATTTATCTGTTATTTGAAACACGAAATAATTGGCAGCTATGTATATATGTAAAGGGGATCCGTTTAATTCTAAAGATTCATTTTCTTCACAATTGCGAAGATAGCGATCGACCGCTGTGAAGGAATCAAGTTTAAATTCTTTTTTAATTTTATCACGGAAATAGCATGGTGATAGGCTGTGTGATTCATTTTTAAAGTAATGGAGCAATGACAGATATATAATGTGTAGTGGCACACTTAGAAAAGGTAACTTACGTCGGTCACCAAAGTCCTCAGTAATCTGTAACTTGTCATTAAAAGTTTTTAGTATATATTCAAGTAATATTGTTAAATTATTGCACTGATCATAATTGAGCTTTTCTAGTTGAAGATTAGTACTCCAAAAACGTTCAAGAAAACTTTTTTGTTGCATGGTCGTGAGCCGATGTAGTTCGTAAGGTAAACCAAACTTGCGTTTAAGTATCTTGATAACATAGCAGTCACTTGTAATCCACATGCGTTTTCTAGCCTGTTCAAGTGCTGTAAATAATTCCAAAGCTTCATTTGTGCTTTGAGGATAAATTTTGTCAAACCCATCAAACAAAAATATGATATTACCATTATTGTAGAAGTAAATAAATAATTGTAATTCAAATGAAATGTTTTCTAAATTTTTACTGTTAAGGACAACTGTTTCATCGTTTATTTTCGTAATTGTAACTTTTCCTATTTCCTTTGGTTTTTTGAGTGCTATCTTACACAGAAATGAAATAATGGATTGGGTTTCTTTTATTTTAATTTTTTCTAGTTCTTTGACACAAGAAGCCATATCGATCATTACGATCCAGAGCTTGGGATTCACTTTTTTTGTTTCTAATGACAGACGTGTTAACAATACAGTTTTACCCATACAAGGCTTTGATGAAATTAACACAATCTTATCGTCTAGATCATTTAATGTGTTTACTTCGTAACTTTCACCGTCCCGCTTTAAATCTCGATTGATATAATATTTTTTTATTTCGTTGTATTTATGACTTTCAATTGGTTTACCAACTTCAATTTTTTCTTTATTTATTAAGGACCACAGTAGTTTACCATTAATTATTTCTATTGAAATATCATCAATAAACTTATTTAGTTTTACTTTTTGTCCTTGGTAAACAATTTCGCATGTATTGAAAATAAACGTTTGTGACTGAGAAGTCAAATCAGTTAAATTCAGATTATCATCTTTTACACTAATATCATAACAATTCTGAAAAGTTTGTTTAAAATCATCATTTAATGGTGCGCCTGTGATAATAATTATTTGCCTCTTAAAATTCACGATGCGCTCAGAAAATGTGTTAATAATTTTAAGTAGCGTGTCTTGTAATGTTTGATTTAAGGGAGTCTCACTAATAATAACAGGAGTGGCATCATTCAATTCTGCAAGTTCCGATATCATTGTATCGTAATCATTCGGCGGGAGGACATGGACATAATCTATATTTATATACGTGTACTTATTTTGGTATATATTACATTGCATAATTTTCGCTGCGCTTAACATCACAGCGTCACTTACGATATTTATTACTTTAGTATTATTGTTTGTCAACGACTCATTCAAATTAAGATTGTCTATAGCATTCTTATTGAATTCAACCCCGAGTGATTTGATCTTTCTTATAAACATAACGCTAAGTACTGTAAGAAGAGGACTATCTACAATATCTTTTTTAGCTTCTTCATAAATTGTGGTATTTTTGGATAGATATTGTGCATCTGTCGGTCTCTTCCACCACTTTTGTATTTTATCGTGAAATCTGAGAAATATAGCGTCTGAATGAACATGAAAGGAAAACTGATTTTGTTGCTTATCAGTATTATAGTGAATACTAATTTCTCGTTTTAAAGTCGCTTCAACTATGTCCTCTTGGGCTTGATTAGTGTAAAACCATAGTCTTTTCAAAAAATCAGACGCAATGTTTTTATCACATTGATAAATATCAAAATAAGTTCTCGGAAAACTGTCAATCATGATAATAATTTTATATTTGCTCAAATCTTCGCTAACCCCTTCTTTAATTTTATCTAAAACATATTTAGCGTTTTCAGCAAGATCTCCTCGGTCATTGAAGGTGAATGATTCACTTTGTTTATCAAACTCTAGTAAATTGCCGACTGCTCCTCCGATACCACTTGAATCTAAATGTGAAAACTCAAGTATTTTTCCGGGACCTACAACATCATTGTTAATATTGATAACTTTGATATCTTGGTTTTTATTATTTTCAGAATAGTACTCAATAAGTTTTAGAAATTTGCTAGCCAGAAAATTTAATCTATCTAATCCTTTTTTCTTATTTGTTGTCAAGTCAATATTACCAAAGCTTTGGGGTAGTTGAAAAGTAAGCATTTGTAACTTTTTCCTACCCGCTAAATAAACAGCGTCTCTAATCATACTCCTCGTAACTTGTACATTTTGCAAAGAAAACATTATCTGTTGAATTTCATTTTGCTTAAACATATTTTTTGGGAGTTTATTTATATCAAGACTAAGCTTATCACTTGACTCATCAAATTTTAAAGGAGAACCGATTAACTGGCAAATTGTTTCAGCACATGTGTGGTCGACTATATCCTTTATTTTTTGCTTTAGCTCATCTTTTGTGAGTCCTGTTTTCGCGCTATGAGTGTATACTATTTCCCTATAAAATGTATCTTTTAGTTTCATTAAATAATCATTTTCGGAATAAAAAAATTCAGAACGGAATTTGGCTATGTGAATACAATTGTTGTTTGAAACGTTTTTAATATTTTCAGAAGGCATTTGAGCTTCTTTAGAAATCAAAACGACTTGTTGAGCTAGGGCAGGGTGGTATAACTTCACTAATTCACTTGCCATCATAGCTTCAAGTTTATTCTTTGATAAAATAAATTCCAAAAAAGTTTTTGCCAAAGTCTTCATTTGTTCGTGTTTTATATATTTAGTTAAAAAATCTAAATCGCGTTCTTCGAAATCAAATTGAAATATGTCCGTAGTTTTATCATTTTGGTTTTCGTTTTTTTCGTTTGTATGAATAATATCATGCAGCTTACCGCATATTTTTTTATTTACTTTTAGTTTTCTATCAAAACATTCTTTAAGAGGGGTATAAAGAATAAAATAACTGTCAATATCATCAAATGCTCCCTGAAACATTGGGTCTGTAGCGTTTGGTGAAAACCTCCTTCTTATTTTTAAAAAACTATCAAAATATATACCTAATCCTAACTTACCTGTGCTACTTCTGACACTAGCAACAGTAAGCTTTGCCTTATCAGTATTTTCCCTGTGTTTACTTTGCATAAAACACGCAACATCATTGAATCTAAAACATAAATCATCGAAATCTCCGATATCTTTGATGTTGGCTGCCAGATAAAACTCTTTAATGTCCTTATCATGCAAAGCTCGATATAGAACTAAACTTAATAATTTGGTTTCGTAGAACTGCCCGCTCACTCCCGACGTTCCGGCTCGTTTTTCATACGTATGATCTTTTATTATGCTCTTATCTTGTAATTTTTTATGGCTTTCATCAGATGGTATTAGCTGTTTACAATAGTTTTCATACACAATTGGCTTAAGTTGATTATCTTGAGTAGATAGAATTTCTGCTATCTCTTTCCCAACAACTGTATCTTTATTTAAAGCTAAGCTTAAAGCTTTTTGTTTGTCTTGCACAGAAAATAAATGTTTATATTTTTGTAAGAGATATAAAACAACATCTTTTTCCTCTTTTTGGACAGCAATATGTAAGATAGTGTTATTATTGTCGTTTCCATCACAGGCGTTAATATCAGCTCCATCTTTCACAAATTCCTCAATTTTTGCAATGATTTCAACGCTGGGTTTCTTTTGCCGTATGTACTTGCGTACAGAGAAAAACATTTCTCCGTTTATTATAAGTTTATCTTCTTCACTGCTCTCCATGTTGAGTTCTGTTCAATTTAATTTATCAGTAATTAGAAATAATTCAAGATTTTATTTACATTTTCAGTCACACAAACTTTAACTTTTTAATAAACTATATGAAACAATACTCAAAGATAGTCACAGTCACAAGTCACTCGCACAAACAGGTGTGAGATTTCGATTAAAATATTAACAAATTATAGTTTGAATAGAAAATGTCCAAGCACACGCTTTATTCTTTACACAGAGTACAGTAATATTATTATCCTTTCAGAGTTCAATGCTTTGTTAGTGATAAATTTGTGTTGCCAGACATGGATTCAAATTTAATACAAATTATAAAGATGATTAATGTTCGTAATGTTTCTACTTATTCTGTTTCTTTAAATTTCGTAGATGATATTTTTTTAAATATACAAAATTTAGTATATTACAAAATAATAATATTCGAATACGATACGATAATAAGATAAAAATAAAATAAAAATGGGTAGAACAGTACATCTTACTCAGTCTGTTACGAACTCAAGACTTAACCTGTGAATAGATAAATGAAAATTTATTAGCACTTTAGCTAAAAAAAATATATAATTCTGTTCAAATAATTTTCAATCCTTTTGATGCTTCCCCGTCCTCTTATTACATCCTGTACCTACCATAAAAAATAACCTTGTTCATGTCTCATTCGTGCTCCTATAATATTCATAGAAAAGTTTAACTGTTTTGGAACAATCATAGAATAAATAAATTTTTTAATTTATCACGAAGCTTAAAAAAAAATACCAAGCGGATTCTTTTTTTAACTATGGCAACTCTTTCAGCGCTATAGTATCCCTAAAATAAAACCTGTTTGGATGTGTGCGCTAGAGTCTCGACGCTGTGACGCATTTGATAAAGATTTGCAACTTACTTTATGGTTCGTTCTCATTGGTGTCCGTAATAGTTATCAGAGGATTAAGTCCTTGACAGAGTAAAGTGGATAAAGCGATTATTTATTGCTTCATTTTAAGTATTAGTATTTAAAGAAGTACAAGATTGAGAAAAGTGAGTATCATAAAATAATACTATTAAATATATATATTTTTTTTTAATTTGTAACCTAATATCATAACGTAACCTCATATTTATTGTGTCTCTTCTTTTTGCTGTTGGAAGATGATGATATATATGATAAATATATCTCACACATCTCACACACGGCCGTCTGATCCAAAACTAGGCAGAGCCTGTACTATGGTAACCAGACTGCTGATAAACATATATTTTTAAATACATACATTTAACACATAAATTACACCCAGCCACAGAACAAATGACTGTGCTCATCACACAATATTTGTCCTGGGTGGGAATCGAACCCATGACCTCCGGCTGAGCAGTCAGGGCCACTGACCACTAGACCAACAGGCCCTTCGTCCAATATGAAACTGAGGAGTTGATGTCAATTTTAACCCTATACCTATTTAGGTATTAAATAATTATTAATTCTATAATAACACAATCATAAGACATAGACACTCCATCTTTGCAACATACTGTAGCTCTTTTAAAAAAATTCAAGCTAAAATATATTATAATACATAGATACTATTATAATTCCTGTTCTAATTTAAAAAATAAGAGTTCAAGTGTGTTCGTTATTTTTGTTTATTTTTAGTTTTCTACACGACATAATCAGGACAATTTATGTCAATCTGTGCTGATTATACTAAAGAAACATAATTATTATGTATTTAGACGTAGATCGTACGTCCGTGTGGTGACGGATTAAGAATACAGAATGTCACCACCCCTATTCATCCCGTGGGTGTCGTAAGAGCCGACTAAGGGAAAAAACTACGCAGGACAACAGCACTGCAGAGAGAAGGAAAACTTGACACAAACCCTTTTTTTTTTTTTGGCCAAAACCTACTTTCTAAGGAGAGGCTTATGTCCAGCAGTGGACTATTAAAGGCTGTTGATGATGATGATGATGAGACGTAGATATTGGTACTAAGGCTACAGAAAACGGATGTTAAGTAACTCCTCAATTGTAGAAGTCCATGACCCGTTTACTCCTTTCTATCCTATACTACAAAAAGTATAATTACTCGTTTTCTAAAAGACATGCACCAATTTACCTTAGCTTAGTCCATCTCTAACAAAACAGCATGCTTAGCTTAATAGTACAATACTAATAATCTATACATCTATACAAATAAATAAAATTGGAGTGTCTGTTTGTAATCATAAAATAACCGCTTTTTACTAAATGCATAATTTATTTATTTATTTAACTTAATGCACTAGTTGTGCAAAGGCGGACTTAATGCCCAAGGCATTCTCTGCCAGTCGACCTTCGGGTGATGTAGAAAAATGAAGCTGTAGGTGCAAGAGAAAACAGAGAATTTTACTTGTTTATATTAAACTTATTAATGTAGGATAAATCTAACTTACATATATACACTACTACTATAAATACTATATTCATAACTACATATATACATAGAGGTCTCAAGTATACACATACAATAGATGAATATACACATTTATAAATACATAAATATCAAACCACATAGTCGGGTACTAGCGATAGCATAGCGGGGCATAGCATAATTATGTATGTTTACACGGTACATATGCCAAAATCTAATTTTTTACCATTTTTGTCTGTCTGTCTGTCTGTTTGTTCTGACTTTCACTGGCAGGTAGCTAATGACATAAGGAGTAACTTAGGCTACTTTTTTAGACTAGCTTCGCCCCGCGGCGCTGCCCGCGGTTATAACAACAAACGCGGATAACACCGCGGGTCTCAGCTAGTATTCAATAAAGTAATACAAACATTACAAATACAATTAAACAGACCTGACAATTTACTCAGTTGACTCTTTGAAAATGCTACTTTGAGGAAGAAGTACCTACCTGTGTAAGATATACTAACGTTTTTATCTTCATAGATGAAATACACAACACAGATCTGCGGTATTTCTGGATCGATACGACCTTCAAGCTTTTAAGAATAGAGTGTGTCATGCCGGCAACGCACTGCGAGAGGCCCTCGTGTGGGTTTATCGCGGTGATCACGTTCGGCGCTGTGATTGGTGGAAAGATCAGCGCGGCCCAATGGCAATGCCGAGCGTGCTCACCGTGACGAAAGGGTAGAAGGGAAAAAACTTACACTAGGCTATCAGGTATTCATGGGCAGCGCTAGTCTCTTACCATTACGTAAACCACCAACTTGTTTGCCCTCTAAACAATTAAAAAAAAATACAGCAACTATAAGAACAATACCAAAAAAAATATAACTAGTAGCCAAAGTGACATTTCAAAAATGTCAGTTTTAGTGAGTATGCGTTAACGCGTTATTACCAAGTCTTTTTTTTGCAAGGCATTTAAATTTATGCTTTATAATTCATAGTAATCATAATTTTATTGTAGGATTACAACTTCTGGCAGGGCGGCCCTCGAAGTCTTTGTAGAAGCGACCTGTATATATGAACTGAGATGTTTATAAGGTTATCTGATTACTTTTTACAATTTCTGAGGACCAAGAGTGAGTTTATTTCACATCAACTCACTCTCAGCAGCCAGCGCGTTTGGCGTTGCGATTGGTCAAGATTTGCGTTCGGGCCAATCGCAACGCCGAACGCAGTCACCGTGACGAATGAGTTGATATGAAATAAACTCAAACTAGGCCTTCTGGTCTGGGATCTCCACTCCATCGGACGTCCGTTCTGCAAGCTATATTGCATAATGTCATCGTTATATCAGATCCATAGCTTTTTGAGTAAATTATAACTTATTTATGAAACCTGCAGTAAAAGATCACTTTTTGGATACATATATATTTGAAACCTTCATAATTATTCTAAAGAGATTTTAAGCGCGGAATACTATACCGCGCTAGCCTTCAGGGCAGCGTTGTACCTATAGTAGGCCAAAACCAAAAGGGATGGTGTGGGATTTGTTTCATGTTACCCTTCTGTTTGCAATGCTGTTGTCCTGTGTAGTTTGCTCCCTTAGTTGGTTCTACGACACCCGATCTTCTTACGATTATTCTTAATCCGTCACCACACGGTTTGTCCACACCAAGGTAACAACGATGCCAACGTATGAAAGAAAATTTTGTGCTTACTGCCAATCCGTTTCTGCACGTGGCTTGTACCTGACCAGTAGTGGCAGCATTATATTGAAGATTTAATTAATAATTTCCTATGTACAGAACATAGAAATTACCTAAAGATGGTGGATTTTTAAGTAACTTGCCTATTTAAGCTTGCTTATTTAGAGCTGGTAAAGAAAAAAATACTGCGCTGATTAAATATTATATTTTTTAACTAATCACGTGGTAAAAGGACAATATAGTTTTAAGGAAGTAAATTTTAAGAGATACGTAAAAGATTTTGGTGGTTTTAGCAATTACCTCGAAGTCAAGTTGGACACTTGTTAGAAACACAAATAAAAAGAATCACCAAATTTTATTTAACTTTTTAAGTTATAATTTTCTTCCAAACCTTTACTAAATTCTTTACTAAACTAAAAAATGAGAGCCAAACAATAATAGAAACTTCTAATTTCCTAATTAACTAGGTCAATAGCTGTATTCATTTTACATAAGTCCTAGCTCAGTAAAACTTTCAATTAAACCAATGATTCTATTTCTATACCGCGTTGTAGATTCTTCATCTAACGTCGAAACTACAAAGTCTTGGGCATCTGGTTTGTTCTCGTTTTTCATAGCATCAGTCATCTTAGCTACATCTTCGGTCTTCCTTATGAGCATACTGGCTAGAAGTACAGAGAGTCCAAAACTGAATTTGGCGTATTGTTTTAAGTCAACATCCAATTTGTCTCGAGGGTACACTAAGCTAGTTTTTAAATTGTAGTTGAAAAGAGATTTTTCTAATTCTGAATGATAATATTCTATCCAATCGTAAAAGTTTTCTTTTCTTGTCTCGTGGTCCGTGCAGTTAAAGATCATGTACATGATATCGTTTACAGGGCTTGTATTTCTGGATAGTTGGTAGTCGATCATCACTGAGTCTATTAATTTTTCCCCCTGAAAAAACAGGCAGTTTATTTATAATGTGTATAAAATGGCTAAGTAAGCTAATTTGTCTCCGTGACGACACAACTATTCAATTGCTTTTTATTTTGCTGTTGCACTTTCAAACATTATACTTCTTGCATGGCAACTTAATTCAAATAATACAATCACAAACAGTTTATTAGTCTGGTCGTTTGAAAAAATATTGATAGGCGAGCACTTTAGTACCATATACTTTTGTAACGTATGTTGTCATCTTTAGAACATGATTTGGTTAAACAAATGAATAAATTCTATATACTCGTATAATATACCACAAAAAAAAAACTAAATATTTTCTATAAATATTTAAATGTGGGGAGTTAAATTCGGAGCACAGTGATATTATACTTAAATAATTTTACTTTCTATTTGTTATATATTCATTTTTGGTGTTTTCCATGGATCTGATTCTTGTTTTCTCTGTATTACCCAGTTGGTCAGCAGAGAATGCCTTAGGCATCAAGTTCGACTTTGTTAAACAAATAAATATAATAATAACTTAATAACCTCACACATAGCCCTTTGATCCCCAACTAGAAAAATTCTAAAGTGTTTCAACCAGACTATAAATACTTATTGCAGATAAATACCTGGAAGGGAATCGAACCCACGACTTCTGGCTAACTTACTATCTACCAAACTAAGAGGGCAATCAAATTATATAATTTTGTAACGATTATCTTATGTTTAATAGGAATATACGAACCTGAAATTTAAACAAAATATTATTAGTCCAAGAATCGCCCTGCAGGATGACAGTATACTGGTTGTAAGCATCAATCTTAGAAAACTTCGTCGCTAAGTTTGGAAGGTCACTGACTTTGTGCCGCACAAAGTCTTGGTATTTTGGATCTTTGACAATAGCAATTGTATCGTCCTCTATCATTTGGAAAAAACCCATTGCATCATCTGATCCACCTACAAGTGTCCATAAGTTCGTTAAGTTATTTTTGAATTTGTTATATGTTTCTGGCTCTTTATGCTTCAAAACAAAAGATAACGAGTGTAGCACAGCAAAATTTTTCATCATGGATTTCACACAATCATTTGAAAGTGACGTAAACCTATCCAACATTATAAAGTCAGATGCCGTCATATCTTCTAGAAGTATCACTTCGTTTGGCTCTTCCAAGGTGGATCCGTAACACTTGGCGTATCGTAGCTGCTCTTCTTCGGGAATACCTGCATTTTTCTGAAACTGTATTAACTTCGGCAATACTTCAGTATACATCAGATGTTCATTCTCAAACAGTACACGAGTGTTCATGGGTTTTCGAATAATTTCAAGTGTAGGTGCTATTTTTGCAATAATTTTTATACTTCCATTTGCTCCTTCGATTGTAATTCTTTTCACACTTGCTACATAATTATCACCAGGTTTGCCAACAGATTCAAAGAATATTTTATTATCCTTTAAGCCATGTTCTAAGATTACATTATTTATAAATTCTAGTTGGCTTTCAGATATATTAGCTATGTCTCCTTCAAAATTATACACTGCCATTGCTGAAACTTTATAAACACTAGTTTTAATTTATACTTGTAATTATTTTATAGCAATATTTTTATCTGAGTTAAAAGATAAAGTAATCCTTTATTTATTACAATTATCTGATAAAGCTGTAAACGTGTGTGAATCAACAAGTCATTATAATACGATATAATAATATTATATCATATATTACACATTTTTTCCAATAATTGTCACTTTTATCATCACCTTTGGTTGCAGTTGAACTTTACTCACTGCTGAGTGGTTTTTCCCTATTCATGACATAACTCTTGCTAACTTTAGTTATGAATTTCAAATTTTAAAAGATCTAATTAACTACATGCTAAAGATTTATCAACAGTAATCACAGTTTTATTAGAATTGCGAGCGATCACGTTCACTTGGTTTATTTCTGGAGTTTGACAAACTGGAAGCTTGTGTTTTTTTGTTGTAAACTTAGATATTTATCAACCCACTAGATGTGTATAATAATTTATGTACTGTCTCTTTTTTATAAATCAACAGTCGACCAGACGGGTCATCTGATGTAAAGTGAGTACCACTGCCCATGGACGCCTATTATTCAGGAATCAAGAATAGGCTTGAAAGCTAATGAACATTATGAGTTAGACTTTAAGACTTCTAACATTCATACAAATATTGTAAATGCGAAAGTGTGTCTGTCTGTTTGTTACCTCTTCACGCTTAAGCCACCTAACTGATTTACATGAAATTTGGTATAGAGATAGTTCTAGCCCCGGGAAAAGACATAGGATAGTTCTTATTACAGAAATCGTCCTTTTTGACCCACTTGGTCAAAAAGGGGGGAGGGGGTGGTGGAAGTTTGTGAGAGCCATCAATAACCGCTGAAACTATTCAGATGAAATTTGATATGGAGATGGTTTGATTCTTGAGGAAGAACATAGGCTACTTTTTAACACGATAACGACATACATGCGGGCGGAGGCGCAGTCAACAGCTAGTCGTATATATTTCACAAATATTTTTTTCGAGAAATTTGCAAATTCAAATTGAAAAAATCTGGGTCTTAAATTATTTTCCTACGTACAGAGTGCATATACATATATCAAAGATTCTATATGCTTTGTGGTGTCACAAACATTTACAAAAGGGTCTGTTCGATCCCAACGATATCATGGCCTCATAGAAAACCGGTGTTAGGCAATACTTTCATAGTTTTCCACCGAGTGAGTGAAGTTATCAGAGCCTAAACTTCGATCCCCTAGATGCTGGTGGAGAAGACTCAAAAGACAGCAACGCAATTGTGACTCGTGAAGCGTCTATAGTAATATTCTCTTCTTCCTAATCGTTCCCTCACTGCTGAGGATCATGACTCTCTTTCCTCCTGTCAACCATTTGCTTCGATCGGTTGCTATCAGTCGTAATATTAATGTGTCTTATAATGTTTCGGACATCTTACACACAACGCCATCTATTTTCAAACTAAGCAGAGCTTGTACTATGAAAGCTAGATTGACTGATAGAATACTTAGATATATTTTTTGGTAAATACATATATATTATACATAGAAACCACCCAAACTCCGATACAAATATTATTATGTTCTCCTTCAATACGGTTATAGATATAACTGTAAGAATGTTTGCTTACAATATGACTATTAAGTATGTCAACGATTAGATAAATGCAGTATTGGTACCGTGACGTTTAAGTACTATCATAATTGTATAAAGTAGATATCTCTTCTATCTTTATGTGATCAAACAAGTCATGCAATTATAACTTTATATAATTATAACTGATCACATAAAGATTAAAACTTACAATATATTAATGAGTATCCTGTAAGTAATAGATCTATCTAATATTGCAATATTAGATAGATCTATTAGAATAAATCTATTCATCACATCACATCAACAGCCTTTAATAGTCCACTGCTGGACATAGGCCTCTCCTTAGAAAGGAGGTTTTGGCCTACTATACCACGCTGGCCAGACGGGTTGGTATAGGGTTTGTGTCAAGTTTTCCTTCTTTTTGCAGTGCTGGTGTCCTGCGTTGTTTTGCGCCCTTAGTCGGCTCTTACGACACCCACGGGATGAATTGGGGTAGTGAGATTCCGTATTCTTAATCAATCATCTATTACAGTTTAATAAAAAATCCTAACACATTTTTTATGGAGCCAGCCATGGACTCTCAAGAGTGGTAGCTCAAGATGGTAGCTCAAGAGCCACAATACCATCAAGAGAAACTAAACTCAATCGCCGCCCGGATGCATGCAGACTCCATGGAGTACTAACATTAAACAAAGTTGCCAGAAATTTCCATGTGAGTGCAGGAAAAAGTTTACACTTGCCAAGAGAAGTTTACATTTACGCTTGCTTAAGACAAGTCATATACATTTGAATATGAACACAGCAACACAGCCCAAAACTTTAGCCACAGAATAAGTTCACCGTCTAAGTTTTTGTAGTCCAGCCAACGGCATCATATATTATACCCTCAGGAGAGGGATCAAAAAATTACAACAGATGAAAACATGCTGTATAAATACTGTATTGAAGTGGTAACCATTGATGTTGACACCACATTGGAGTCTATTAAAACTTTGTGTCTCTCTCTTTTCCTGAATTAGGCAAGGGGGAGGGAAATTCAGCCTCTGGGAATCCCGCTGACCTCAAAGCAACAAAATCATCGCTTAGCACCGAGTTTCTATGAGGCCGTGGTATCACTACGGCCAAGGTCATATTTGCCGATGCATGGTTTTCGCATGGTACGGTCTTCGACTTCTAAATCACTGCAGGTTAATACTAAATGTACTTTAACAATAAAACCAAACATTCATGTCTTTCTACTCGTCCTGGAGTCTAAGAATTTAACTTATGAATTTAACCTTATGTTCTGTGACTAGGTGTAATTTACCTATAATATGTATGTTTAAAAAAATATTTAAGTGTGTTTATCAGCATTCTGATTACCATAACACAGGTCCTGCTTAGTTTAGGATCAGACTGCCGTGTGTGAGATGTGTGAAATTATTGTTATTATTTATTTCATTAAAATAAGATATTTGTTTGAATGCAGATAAAAATTCCTATACCTACGTATAGGAACCATTTGGATGGCCAAAGGTACTTTGTTAAAAAGTTTGTACATTTTGCATAACAATTCCTTTGAAATAACATAATTTTGCAGGCTAATAATCTAGACTAGAAGTGGTTTTCCTCGTCGAGTGTGACAAAAATAGACGCATATTGCTTTAAAATAACATGAAGCCAGTCCTCCTTTTAAGTACTATACTATTATTCAAGCATTTTTTGAATGACGCTTTACGAGACGCGTATGAAGATATACCTACAAATAAAACCCCTTATAAATAATTATATTTCAAACTCAAACTCAAACTTTCTTTATTTCATAAAATTTTCAAAATTGTTTGAAATCGTCTTCCATGTAGACTCTAAAGTCATAGATCAACACACACAAAAGCAACAATCTCTGTTTTGTCAAATAGTAACCAAATAAATTTAACAAAATCAAACCCATACAAAATCTATGCCTGTGCCGATCTACAACCGCCCGTTTCCAAGGGGTTGAGCCTTATGAGAAGAAAGGGCAAACAAACTCATGGCCACTCTTTTGCAATTCACAAGTAGATACAATGGCACTATTAAATATATCACAACATTGTTTTGATGTGTGCTAGTATGTCCGTTATTAAGGACTTAAAGGTGAAAAAACAACGAAGAGAAAACAAGATTAAGAAGAACAAACGAATACAAGAGAAAATGAAGTGAAACATAAAAAATAGAAAAAATAATAAAAAACATACTAGCCACACCACATTTTTTACTTAAGAAAGAAATAGCCTGCGCTAATTAATCCCAAGCATTCTTGTCCTCCATGTAATCCACAATCGAGTAGTAGGCCCTCTGGCACAAGCCACGTTTTATTGCGGATTTAAATTTGTTAATACTCAACTCCTGAATATTATTTGGGATTTTATTATAAAATCGGACACATTGACCTCGAAAAGACTTGTTTATCTTTTGGAGCCTAGAGGCGGGTACAACAAATTTATTTTTATTTCTGGTATTTATGGCATGTACATCACTTTTTTTCAAAAAGCTATCTTTATTTTTGTGAACATATATTACATTTTCATAAATATATTGACTTGCCACTGTCATTATATTTATTTCTTTAAATTTCTGCCTCAATGAACAACGATTGCCTAAATTATAAAGTGCTCGAATAGCTCTCTTTTGCAGCACAAAAATAGTTTGAATGTCGGCAGCATTCCCCCCACAGCAGAATACCGTACGACATTATGCTATGAAAGTAACTGAAGTAAACAAGTCGTGCTGTATCAACATCAGTCAACTCTCGGATTTTCCTTACTGCGTATGCTGCTGAGCTGAGTCTACTCGACAATTTATCAATATGTGGGCCCCACTGTAGCTTAGCATCTAGTGTTATACCTAAAAATGTCGTAGTGTCCACAAGGTCCAGCCCGACATCCTTAATTATCACAGTAGTTTTCACTGGCTTGACGTTTGGCATAGTGAAACGTATACACTTAGTTTTTTGTTCATTTAATAGTAAATTGTTGACATCAAACCAATGAACCACTTTCGAAATGGCGCTGTTTACAAATGTGAAATCAGAAAGTGTCCGTTTTAGTCTAAATAATAGTGATGTATCATCTGCAAACAACACAATCTCGAGATTGTCCTTGACAAAGTGAGGTAAGTCGTTAATATATACTAAAAACAAAAAAGGGCCGAGAATAGAACCCTGTGGAACTCCCATTTCTATCACAGAGCCTGGAGACCGCTCACCATTAATATCAACTTTTTGAATCCTATTACATAGATATGAGGCAAGTAGTTCCAGGGCTTTATTTTTGATACCATAGTGCTGTAATTTCCTGATCAGCGTTTCATGAACAACACAATCAAAAGCCTTAGATAAATCGCAAAAGATACCTAGAGAATCGTGGGCATCCTCCCAGGCATCAAATATATGT